TGAACGGAGGGCATGATTGTGTTCATTTGAGATACTCGAATTCTCCTAGTTATTTTACTATTCCAGGAATATATCATCAATTAAGTTGTACTGCTTCAAATGACTTGGAGCGGTCTGCTGAGTGTTTGCATTTCCCATTGACGATGGGAACTTGAGTGATCATAACGGATTGAGTAATTTTCAAAATCATCATTGAGCGATTGTTTTTAGATTCTCGTAGCAATAAAAGGCGAAATGCGTAAGGCATTCATAGTGGGCGCTAAAATCCACGTTGATCATCGCAAGCACGGCGTGCCATCGACTGATTCCAATAACATCGTTTTACTGGTTGGTTATCACTCAATAATGATCCCTTTTCTGAATTTCTAGCTAACAGCAGATCTACGTTCGTGATGCTATGCTCGAAAATGTTTCAGCTCCATCACTTAACTCTCCAGTCTAGTTCTAATGTGGATCATCTCACTATTAATTGTGACCATCATCTGTGTTGAATGTAATTTCTCTAACAAAAAAAAAAACACTTGCTCAAGCTAATAAACTGCTACTGTTTAGGATGAAGAAGGAAATCCTCTCGGAACACGAGTTTTAGCGCCGATTCCCAGTAAACTTCTGGAACGACGCGACAATATGCAGTTCTCGAAAGTACTAACGTTGGCAACGAAATTCGTCTAATTNTGCTCGTGATGAGACTTGGAATTGTTTTCGTTGTTTCATTTGGTTTTATTCAGGTAATTAGTAAGTGAAATAAGTTTCTGTGAAGAATTCCACAAACGCAAAAAATTGCCAGGAACAGCAGCGTATTCGCGGTTTATATACCGTCAAATTTGTGCTTGCTTACATTGTTCTGCGCGCAAAATTTGCATTTAAAGCTCAACTCCTATCCATTGGTTTATTTCACCGTAGTTGTGGTTTTACTGGCAGTTTTTCGTGGTGGATTTCAGGTGTATGTTATGATGAAACGAATTTGCATTTTATTGCGAATATTTTATTGTTGTTATTATTAGCAGTATTATTCTGTGTGCATAAATTTAAGACGTTATAAGTGATTCGAGAAACACCACCTGATAATATCTCGTATCAGTCAATAATTTATTGAGCTTTCATTTTGACGTTTCCATCACAGAACGATGGAATCCAATTCGCGCAGACTGCATTCGTTTGAAGAAGTGGTCGCAGGTGATAGAGAAAATCGTCGATATTCTCCACTGAGAATCCTTTCTTAGTACTCTCTCCTGTATCGATAACCACATTGTAGTAGTTCTTGTTACCTCCGTGCAATCCCCTTAACATATCGTTCATATTTATTATTATAAAGCTGATGCAATGTCAGGATAACATTTAAAGTTATGTTTTCGAAAAAAANATTTAAAGTTATGTTTTCGAAAAAAAAGAATTGCCATTTGGCAGGCATTGAGCAAGCCTTTGTGACCAGCAAAACCCGAATCTGTGGGTTCGTACGAAGGCAAATTTTTACTCAAATGAGAGAAAGCTGGATGTTTGAATTATATGAGCTGCATATAGTGCGTCAAATAATCAGATCCAATGGGGATGTTTAATCAGTCATTTGAGACTGTCGCGTTTTCTTAGGTTAACAGTTGAGACGGGTTCGTTCTGCAATGACCTGAAGCATTCCTTAAGGGTTTGCTCGTTGGAGATAGAGAATATTCATGATGGATTGTTTCGTTGTCTTACCGTCCAATATCACAAGCCCACCAAATTGGCGACAGAGTCATTCCCCAGTCCTTGGCACGGAAACAATCCTCGCACAGTTTCTGCCTTTTATAGTAAATATGCTTGATTGACGCTACTTCAACGACTTTGTCTTGACCAAGCGGGAAGAAATATGTTTTGATGAGAAGTTTTTGTTTGGTTAACTGAAAATGTTTAAAAATCATCCCACTGAGATTCAATTCGGTAAAGTAATGAGACATTTAGGTGGATAAATGGATGGATAGGAATCGTGTGATAATCGTTATTGTGAGCTGAGATTTATTGGTATTCACCAATTTTTCTAGAGCTGTTCTTTTGAAATTTCGAGTTAATTGAATCTGAATTCATTATCCGTGGGCAGAAATTCTCGTCGTGCAGAAAGTGACGTTTGTTCAAGAAGACGAGCTGATTGCCAAATGGAACAACGCAGCAATTGAAAATGATTAAAAGTAATTGATACAATTAACCTTGCAAAAGCGATCTGCATATAATCTTCCCGAAGCGCCTTCCATTATTGCC